GTTTTTGAGGAACTTCCATTTTGATTTCCATAGTGGCTGTTCTAATCTATAACCCTACCAGCACTGTATAAAGGTTCCTTCCCTGCTGCATCCTCACTGTCATTAGTTCTCATTTGCTTTCTTGATGATATAGCCATTCTGACTGGGGCAAGATAGAATCTCAGTGTAGTTTGATTTGCCTTTCACTGATACTAAGGATGTTAAATACTTTTCTCATATATTTATTGGCCATTGGTACTTTTGAGAACTGTCTGCTTAACCTATTGACTAAACTTATGTCTTCATTTAGTGTTTAACTTTTTTAGTTCTTTGTACATTCTAGTTATTATTACTCTGTCTAATGAATAGTTGGCAAAGCTTTTCTCCCATTCTATAAGCTGTTTATCCAATTTGTTTCCTTTTCTTTGTGGGAGCTTAATTCGATGTCTCATTTAATTCTTGCTACTATCTCCTAAAGTATTGGAATCCTATTTAGAAAGTTGGTACCTGCACTTGTATCTTAAAATGTTTGCTGTTTTCCTTTAGTAGTTTCAGTGTTTTGAGTCTTATATGAAGGCATTTGATCTGTTTTGAATTGATTTTTATACAAGCTGAGAGATGGGTTCAAGTTTCATTTGTCTACATGTGCTTATCCAGTTCCCAGCAGCATTTGTGGATGAGGCAGTCGTTTCTCCAGTGTGTACTTTTGGCACAACAATCTTTCTTTTAGGTTTTCTGCTTTATTGGAATGTGAGTTTTCAAAATATTCCCTGGATTTCCTCTGGATTTCCGTGTATCTGTTGTAGCATTCCCCTTCCTGCTTCACCTCTAATCTTACTGAGTCTTTCCTTTGGTTAGTTTGACTACGCATTTGTCAGTCTTTATCCTACTGCAAAATCGGCTCTTTGTTTCTTTGATCCTTCATATTGTTCTTATGGTCTCCATTTCATTAATTTCTACCCTACCCTATTATTTCTTTTTCTGTTTACTAATTTTGTTTGGCTTCTCTAAGACCTTGAGACCCATCGCTAAGTTTGATCTGAGAAGTCTCATGACTTTTAATGTAGACACTCATAGCTATAAACTTATCTCTTCTGCCTTTACTGCATACCAGAAATTCTGATAAATTGTGATTTTGTCTTCATTCGATTCTAGGAATGTTTTAAATTTTTAAAAACAATGCTTTATGTATAACAATGCAGTTTACATATTAAATAATACTATAATAGAATGATTTGATATAGTTATAAACAGTAGAAAAAAAGGGGGAATTTCAGGTTATAAAATCCCTCCCCCACCTGACAGATGGCTCAATGGCTGAGAACCCTTGCTGTTCTTCTAGAGGATCCAGGTTCACATCCTAGCACCTGCATGGCAAGTAACAACTGCTTGTAACTCCATTTCCAGGGAATCCAACACGCTGATCCAACACCCTCTTCTGGCTTCTGCTAGCATTACATGACATGGATGCACTTACATAGATGGGGGCAAAACATTTATATACAAAAAGTAAAATTAATTTTAAAAGACCTCTCCCCCAAAAGCAAATTAAAAATTTTTAATTTTCAGTCTTTTGCTATATAGCCTAGGCTGGGCTGGAACTTACTATAGCCCAGGCTGGCCTCAAACTCATGCTTGTCTTACCTCTCAAATGTTGAGATTATAGGCATGTGGCACCACCTCTGGTTTGATTCTAGGAATATTTAAATTACTAAGATACAAGAAATTCTCTTCTTTTTTAAAACATTTGTTTTATTTACGTGTATTTGTGTATGTGTGTATATATATATATATATACACACACACACACACACACATATATGTGTATTGGTGCCCATGGAGGCCAGAAAAGGGCATCAGATCTCTTGAAGGAGTTGGAGTTGCAGGCATTTATAAGCTGCTTGACATGGGTGCTTAGAAAGGGTCCTTATGATTGAGCAGCAAGCACTCTTAACCACCACAGCATCTCTCCATCCCCCAAGAGATTCATTTTCTTTCTCTCTCACTCTTGCTTCTGTGCTTCCATGTGTTAAAACTTGCTTTATGATCTGAAATTGATCTTCTTTAGAGGTTTCATGAACTAGTCCATCCATAGCCATTGGATGGAATATTCTCAAATGTCACTTAAGGTGACTGATTTACAGTGCAGCTTTAAAGTTTCTGTTTGTTTGTTTGTTTGTTTGTTTGTTTTGGGGGGGATCTGGATGATAGAGCTAACTGTTAACGAGAGTGGGATTTTTTTTTTTTTGTCTTTTTTGAGACAGGGTCTCCTTGTAGCCCCAGCTGTCTTGGAACTCACTATGTAGACCAGGCTGGCCTCCAACTCACAAAGATCCGCCTGCCTCTGCCTCCCAAGTGCTGGGATTAAAGGCTTGTGCCACCACGCCCGACTGAGAGTGGGATTTTAAAGTAAGTATCCACTGTTATTTTCTTTGACCCTGTCTATCCCCTTATGTCTTGTATAGTTTTATGGAATTGGGTGCATCAGCATTTAATGTGTATAGATTTATAATTATCACATCTTCTTGATGGATGTATTTCCTTTAGTAATATACCATGACTATCTTTATCTTTTTGAATAATTTGGCATGAGGTCTGCTTTGTCAGGTATGCATATAGTTATTCCTGCTTGCTTTTGGATTCCACTTGCTTAGAATAGCATTTCCCATTTTTTTCTCTTTCAGTCTTGATTTGCCAGTGAGGTGAGTTTCTTGTAGAAAGCAAACAGTTGGATCTTGCTTTTTAATCTGTTAAACTAATCTATGTTTTAATTGAAAAGTTAACAGTGTTTAGAGTTATTATTGAGAGGTATGTACTAACTTTTTCTGTCTTTATTTTACATGTTTGCTGGTTTACAGAGTTAATAATGTTTGATTCTTTCCTACTTCTCATTTATTCTTCTAAGGAGACTTATTCTTGCTTGAGTTCTCGGGCTATGTATAGCGTTTTTCCTCTTCTGTTCATAGTATTCCTTTAAGTATGTATATTCAGCAGGGCTAATGGAGTGGTCATGAATTGCTTTAATAGTATGCTTATCATGAAAGTCTTTACTTTTGCTCCAATTTCAAAAAATAGCTTGCTGAATATTGTAGTCTTGGTTGGCAGTCTGTGCCCTTTGCCTTTAGTTTCCATTGTGAGGTGTGCTGCTGTTTTGATGGGCTTGCCTTTTTAGGGAACTTTACACTTCTCTCATGCAACTTTCAGTACTACTTGTTTTATTCTCTAAGGATTCTGATTATAAAATGATGTGCAGAGATTTTTGGTTTCCTCTACCTGGAATTCTAAATGCTTCATGTTTAATGTCCATTTCTGTCCCTAGATTGGGGACATTTTCTGCTAAAACTTCATTTTATGCTTAACTTCATTGAATGAATTTTTAGAGCCTTTAGTCTGTGTATGTTTTGGGTCCCTCTATACCATGGATTGGCTTGTTTGTCTCTTAATAGTGTCCCAGAGGTCTTGAGCATTGTTGTCTTTATTCCTTTTATTCTTTATTATTATTTGACTATAATAATTCCTCATATTTGGCTGGAGAGATGGCTCACTGGTTAAGAGCACTGGCTGCTTTTGCAGAGGACCTGGTTTCAGTTCCCAGCACCCATATGGTGTCTAACAACTATCCGTAACTCCAGTTCCAGAGGAATCTGATGCCCTCCTCTCACCTCTGTGGGCATTTCAAGGCACAGGTGCACTTACATACACACAAGCAATACACTCATATACATAAAATAAAAATAATAAAAATTTTTTTTAATTCCTCATGTTTGTATCCAATTCTTGATAGTTTTTTTTTTTCTTCTGCTTGGTCTAGTCGATTGGTAATGTTTCCATTGGGATTTTTTGATTGATTGATTGATTGATTGATTGATTGATTGACTGAGCCTTTCATTTTTAAGATTTCCCTTTCCCTTTTTTTCTGCCTGAATTTCTTGTCTAAGTTACTGAATTTATAGTCCAAATTGTTGAAATTCTTACACAGGTGTTGAATTGGCATTTTCATTCATCTGTTATTTGAACCCCCTTTGAACTCGTTTTCTGTGGTGGGGGGCATGTAGATTAATGATTCTGATCAAGTTTGGAGGTTTTCAGCCATTGTTCAAGTACTTTTGCTTTATCTCTCCTTTCCTTCTAAGACGTTATACAGGTCTTCAAATCTCTGTTGATTTTCTTCCCATTTTTCCTTTATTTCCCTTGGCTGGTTTACTCAGTTTTCAGGTTCTTTGATATGACAGTGCCGTCTGCTACTGAATCTCCTTGATTCATCTTTCATTTTAGTCTGTGTGTTTTCCAGATCTCTAATTTTTTTCTTTCTTATGGATCTCTCTGCTAGACATCATTGTTACAGGTCCCTTTAATTCTTCAGACATGCTTTCTTTTAGTTCTTTGAACATATTTATATTAATTGACTTGAAGTTTTTGTCTAGTAAGTCTAATATCTTGGCTTCCTCAGGGATAATTTCTGTTAACTACCTTTTTCCTTATGTTTGGGCAATATTTTATTATTTTTATTATTTCTTTGTTTGGTTCAGGATTTTTTTATTAGAAGCATGATTACATAGTTTTCAACTTTTATACTTTTAATGTGATATATAACATGAGTTGATTTCCTGATATTAAACCAATTCTGCTAGACTGTTGGCCTTCACTGGTTCAGTGGTTACAAGGCTGCTGGTTTCCAAAGCTTCAATGTACCTAGGAAGGAGAGATGCAAATTGAAAGTAGGACAAGTTAGAACACCAGAAAGTTCACTGTTGTTATCAAGATCCAGGTAGTTTTTTTGAATAAATGCTTATTACAAGTCTTTGGTTAAATTCTAAAGTTCTAAACAAATAAAACAAAGCAAAACAAAACCTAGTTTAAAGTGTCTTTTCATTGCTTTTTGGAGAAGTGAATTTTCAGCAGTCTTTTATCCATTGTTCTACAAGTGCGCATTTCAGTCTGTCATGCTCTTAGCATGACATTGTGCATACTGCTCTGCTCTTTGAAATGTACATAATGGTCTGTGTACATTTTTTTGGCAGCCATGAAAGTCCACTCTTTGATTTCATTGAGAGCTGCTTGCGAAATAAGCACGAAATGGTTATTTATGAAGCTGCTTCTGCTATCATCCATCTTCCCAACTGTACTGCAAGAGAGCTGGCACCTGCTGTCTCAGGTTGGTTGTGTTTGATAGCTTCTGTTTGTCTATGTTCTTAAGTTTGGAAGTTCAGTCAGTCTGCAGAGTAGGCATTCAGAATGACTTTTAGGGCTAATGAGGTGGTTCCGTTGATTAAAGGTGCTTGCAATCAAGTTTAACAACCGGAGTTCAGTCCACAGTACTTCTTTGGTAGAAGGAGCTGCCCCCCCACTAACTGTTTCAAAATAATGCTTTTATACCTTAGCACTGTAGCTATAACCTTTCCATTACGATAACTTACATGTAGGTAATTTGAGTGCTTAATTACTTCGTTATTTGCAGTTTCTATTTTTCCACACAAAAGTTTTAAAAGAATTCTATTTAGAAGACAAATAACTTTAATGATTTCCATTTTCCGTAATGTTTAGAAACCCATTTGCTCTTATAATTACCACTATTTCTCTTATTTGAATTCAAATATTAGTGTGCTAATTCTAGAAAAAAAGGCCAACCTTGTTTTCTATTCAAGAGAATTTCATACATTAGTATTATATTTACATTGTTTCCACTTCAACCCTTCCCACATCCCTCCTCCCAATTTTCTCTCAATTTTGCGACTTTGTTTTTGATTATATATATATACACACATATATATTGTGAACTAATTTTCTTATGTACTAATGAATGTGATTTATTATGTGTTGTATTTTCAGCTCTATGTATAAGATGAAAAATATTCACAGTAATTTTTTGTTTGTTTTTGTTTTGTCTTGGTTTTCAGTTCTTCAACTTTTCTGTAGCTCTCCCAAGCCAGCCTTGAGATATGCAGCAGTGAGGACCTTGAACAAGGTAGGCACCCTTTGCTCAATATAAACCTCAATGTTCGCTTCAAGTAAGTATACAGTATTTGGCTTTCTTTTCAAGGTTAGTATATATGATTTATAGACTTCACTTCTGTAGCATCTTATTTGTACTTGTAGCCTTAGTTGTGGCAATGTATAGTACTATTTGGTGGAAGATTATAACTCATTTCTGATTTTTGAGTACTTTATCTTCAAGTGTTACACTGTTCAATATGGTAGCCATTCATAAGGGACTATTTAAATTAATTAAAATTAACTAAGCAATTCAGTTCCTCAGTTACTTTTATAATCTTGTATATGCTTATAGCAACTTATGGTTAATGGTGATCATATTATACAATACAGATATTGAGCCATTATTTCAGTTCCTCATCTAAACTGAAACCAAAATCATGAAACCAAAAGTGTCTTAGAATTCACGTTTGTAAATTTTTAGAAGGTATGACACTATCTCTTGCATACTAGCTCCAGTGGACTTGGAACAGCACCTAGCCATTAAGGTACATTATTATTTCTGCACAAAACAGAAGTCTCTTTGCTAAGAGACTTTGGGTCATGTTTCCCTGTTAAATGAATTTTATTGAAAATAATTGGCAGAATATTTTCACATTTTCAGAATTTGGGGTCAGAAACTGCTAGTATAGGGTAGATAGAGAGATGGAACAACATAAACAAAACCAAGGAAGTAGAATAGCAGGCAAGTGTTAGTGACAGTGAGTGATCCAGTTTGTCAGGAGTTTGCTTGTTTAATTGCAGAAGTGTTTTTAAAGTGACATAATGTCTTTGTTGATCAGCATTTACCATGATAGTTCCTTTTCTCAGAGTTTCTAACATTTAGTGGAGCAGACTCATGAACACATGTAGTATAAGGAGATATAGGCCACCTGTGGTAAAAGACAGACTAATATTGTTACAAAGTTTATAAGTCCTTAACAAAGGAGAGTACTATGCTGTACTATGGCAATTATTCCTTTATCAAATGAAACATTATACCTTCTTAATTAAAAACAACTATGTTGGGGAAAGGGAAGTTGAGACAGGGTGTCAGGTAGACCAGGCAGGCTTGGAATTTGCTGTGTGGCCATGAATGACTTTGACCTCCTGATCCTCCTGCCTTCAGCTTCCAAGCATTGAGATTACAAGCAGTCACACCATGGCTGACCTAAAACAGTTACTTTTGACCTAAACTGTCCCCTTTGGATTGCCATTTACTTTAATTAAAGCCTGAGTTCTGGCCTTTATCAATAGCAATATGCTTTTTTTTTTTCTTGCCCTTCCACAAGGTGGCAATGAAACACCCATCGGCTGTTACTGCCTGCAACCTGGACTTAGAAAACCTGATCACAGACTCAAACAGAAGCATTGCTACCCTGGCCATCACTACACTGCTCAAAACAGGAAGTGAGAGCAGCGTGGACAGGCTCATGAAGCAGATATCTTCTTTTGTGTCTGAAATCTCAGATGAGTTCAAGGTAAAAATTTTAAAATGCTTTTCCTCAGTAAGTGGTTTGTTTGTTTGCTTCCTTCTTTATCTTTCTTTTCTTTTCTTTTCTTTTCTCTTTTCTTTTCTTTTTTCTTTTCTTTTCTTTCTTTCTTTCTTTCTTTCTTTCTTTCTTTCTTTCTTTCTTTCTCTCTTTCTCTTCTCTCTTTCTCTCTTTCTCTTTTTCTCTCTCTTTTGCTTTTGGTTTTGTTTTGTTTTTCTTTATTTGAGACTGAGTTTCATTATGTATCCTTCATGGTCTGGAACTTACTATATAAGCCAGACTGGCCTTGACCTCACAGAGATCCTCCAGCCTCTGCCCCTCAAGTGCAGGGATTAAAAGCATGCACCACTACACCAGGCCAATTTTTAACAGTGTCTTTATGTTTTTAATTTTTATGAAGTTTTTTTTTCTTTGTAGATATTGTTGTAGCCTATCTAAATAAATTTTATTCATCACCAAGTCATAAAACTAATCCCTTGTGCTTTATTCTAATTTTAAAAAATATTTTATTTTATGTGTATTACTATATTGCCTGCATGTAGATAGGTGCACCCATGTCATGCAGTGCCTTTGGAGGTCAGAAAAGGGCATTGGATCTGCTGGAACTGGAGTTATAGATGGTTATTAGCCACCATGTAGGTGCTAGGAATTGAGCCCAGGTCTTCTGCAAGAGCAGCCAGAGCTCTTAACCACTGAGCCATCTCTCCAGCCCCTTGTTTTATTCTAAATGCCTTATGACTTTAGCTTTTACATTTTGGTCTGTGACCAACTTCAATTAATGCTTGTGTGATAGATTCAGTGTTTTCTGTACTGATGTTATTCTAGCATAATTACTTGAAAAGACTTCCTTTCCCCATGAGAGTACTTGTACATCTTTATTTGAAGACCGAATAACCAAATAATTATTTACTAATAGGGTGCAAAAATCTTTTTTCTTTTAATTTCTCATGTTGTTATCATATGACTTTGCTGAATTACCTTATTGGTTACAAGATACGTTGCTTGGAATTATCTCTATAATTAATAAAGGCCTGTATAAATGAAGAGTTTTCCTTTGTTTTTCTAATCCAAAGACTGTTCCTTTGTTTTTCTTGCCTCATTAAAATAGCCAGTACTTCTAATAGTATTGAATAGAACCAGTGATAGTGTGGTAAAGATAATAGGAAGAACAGTAAATTTCAGTTAAAGGAGAAAGACTCTGTTCATTCTTTCTTAATACTTAGCCATGTAGTATAATTGACCATTACTCTCTACTTAATGTATTTCTAGATTAAAAATAAAATAGAAGTAGACATTATAAGACTTTGGGGGTACTTTAAGGTGTTATAAAGATTGGTTTGCAGCTCTTTGTAAAAATATACTGGGATGATGATGAAAGTAGTTTTGGTAATAATATTTTAGAATAGGAGTTGGCAAACTTTACTCTAAACACTCATAAACAAATACTCTGGGTTATCTGGGCTCCTCTATTATCTGTTTCATGTTTTTTTCTTTTTATACTTTACAACTCTTTAAAAGCTTTAAAACATTATTTCTCTCAAACTATAAAAATGGGCTGTAAGCCTGGCATGATTGTGTATAGCAAACTTCCAGGACAGCCTTTGCTGAAAGCAAGACTCTTGTCTCAAAAAACAAACACTCGGAATGTAGCCAAGATTGGACTATAGTGTATTGGCTTCATTTTAAAAAATTAAAATGTTTAGAAAAATAAAAAATTAAAGTACTACATAACCTCATTAGCCAGGATATGGCTCAGTGGAAGCCTTTATTTAGTCCTGTGTACAACTATATTTGGAACTTTTGAAAATCCACCAAGGTCTACTAAAACTGATGTGTGTGTATCTGTTTTTTTGTTTGTTTGTTTGTTTATTTATTTATTTATTTATTTATTATTTTCCTTTTGAGCCAAGATCTTACTAGGTAGCCTAGACTGACCTCAAACTTACGTTATGTCTCCCTCAGCCTCACAAGTGTACAGATTTTAGGCATTTGCTGCCATGCCTGACTGAAGATGAATTTTCTTTACAAAAAGAGAACCTTGCAATTTCATTTTTTGAACTATGATTTTATTTCAGTCATGTACATTAAACCTTACAAACATGTTAGGCAGGTTGCAGATTATATAAAGAATGATAACAATTATATAAATACTAAAGATTAAGCCAAACTTACCTATGTATATTATTTGGAGGTACATTTAGTGAACTGAAGAAAAGCAAGGACATGGTAAAGATACTCAAGAGAATGATCTTACCAGGGAAGGATATGATCAGGAGGGAAGGGGGTTACATAAGACTTGCAGATTATGGAATTCTTTGAACAAGCTATGAAATAAAACCACCAACATTTGTTTGTATAATACTTTGTTAAATATATATTTATAGCAATTATGAAATATGCCATAAGAAATAGAAAAAAAATATAACATTTTGAATTAAGCTGAATTCTTCAATTGATAAGATTTTTTTTCCCGTTTGACTAATTTTGCTAGCTTTTAACTTAATAAAACAAGTCTTCATTAAGTTGTTTAAAGCCTAGTGTACTTTAAATATCATCTGTGATTTTTCTATCTTTTTTAGTTCTTTATTTCTGTGATTGCATAGTTTTATAATAAAAAAGAATTGATTCCAAACTAATGTCAATATAATTTTTTTCATTATTTTCATTGGATATGTATTATGTTTCGACCTTTACTACTTTTCTCAAAAACATTTCCTCTTCTTTAGTGCCTTCTAAAGGAAACTTCTGTGTATACATGCATGGCTTTTTAGGAAGGAAATTTATCCTAAAGTTTGAGTTATATCAGGTGCCCTATTACAAAACACTTATCAATGTAAATTTGTTACAGGACTTTTAGGGCAAAATCCCTGGCTTCAGGAGTCCCAGTAGTCTAGTCTTGGCCACCTGTCCCAATATGCCAGTTAAAGAGATGATTAATGTTGAAAAACATAAAAAGGAGATTTAATAAATGTGACCACATGGGAAGTAAAAGGAATTCAGTGATACCAATTCTGTCTTCAAGGTACTGGTTTGAGCCTTTTTTTAAATAGAAAAAGAATTTGGACAGGGGACAAGAGATGCATAATAAAGAAGTCTTGGTCAAAGTGTGGTAGGCTGGTCATTGTCTCAGTTCTTCAAAGTGGTTCAAAAAACTCCTTATTGCTTGAATGGGCAAGCTGATTCCCATAACATGATTGTTCCTACTGAAGAGTGTTTTCATGATGAGGTGATGTGTGTGTATGTATGTAGGTGTGTGTGTAAGTGCACGTATATGTATGTATATATAATCTAACAAAAACCCCAGTGCCAGGGAAACCTCCTTTCTAGTTGTTGGTCAGGGTAGTCTCAGACACTTCCAAAACTATATAGGCTGCTGCTGTTGCCCTTGTTTACCTCCCAGAACTTGAAGGTAAGACCTGATTGCTAAAGACACATACTTCAGACACAGGACTTGGAGGAATCCAGCTGGAATTGACCTGGAAACCTCCTCCCTGAGGACTTATAGTATTGGAAGGTATTATGAAAACTGTCAAGGGAGAATAGCAGTCATTAGTTCTACCCAGCTGTAAAGCCTATGATTCACAATAATGGCTAGCCCAGGAAGATATTACCAATGGTGCAGTAGTGGCACTTTTTACTAGGGGATAACCAACAACTGTCGAATTAGACTTAAGGCCTGCTCAGCAGCATGGAATTCATACCTGGTACTTTAAACATAGCCAGATACCCACAACTAGAGAGGACATAGACCTTAGAAGAGAACTTACTACTGCCTTTTTCCTAAACTAATATAATTTATAACTGTATTCTAAGTACTTATCCTTATACCCACAGATAAGCATAGTTCTCACCCCTCATCAAAGAAGCTTGTTTTTGCAACAGAGACTATTACAGAGATCCACAACTGGTCAGAATGCAGAGAATAAGTGACCATTGGGTGCTCACCCCCAATTGATACATCTATAATGCAATTCCTACAGCTAAGACTCAGAACATCATAGAAAAGGAAGCTGAAAGGTTTTAAGAGCCAGAGGATCAGAATGTTTGCTGCTAGATAGTGTCTTCTAGACATGATAGGAAAGCTGCTCCATGAAATCTCAACAATATGGTTGTTTAAACAAGACCTGCATAATGACAATACCAGTTGACATGCCAATACAGATGGGGGAAATATCACCAGGTTCCATCTCTAGGTGAAGAACTACAGGTAATCAATGGCTGTTGAGAGAGGGAGAATCAGTTTTCTCCAGGAACAAGCTCTCTGATAGGCTGTTTAATCCCAAGTGATCAGCCCTAAACACCTGTAAACACAAATGCCAGTAAATGGATTTTGTAGTTGTTATGTGAATGTATAGCACACACACATAACAATAATAAGGAAGAAGAAGTCACAAAATTGAGAGAGAATGAGGGGATGTTAGAAGAGAAAAAAGGGGTTAAGAAGTGCTATAAATAGAATACTCATGAAATTCTAAGCAATAAAGAATTTATAAAAATAAGATATCAGAAAAATTTGATAAACTAGATCTAAAGAATTTATATTTACCTTCTATTTCCTAAATCTCCAACTCCACCCCTCACTCAGCATGAAGCAGCTATAACAGGGATGTTGCCCTGTGTCCCATGCAAATAAAATGAAGGATTGACACTGAAGACTGTAACGGTGTAGACAAAGATCATATTGTTACTATACATGTGAAAGTATAGAAAAATCCCAAGAACAGCAAATGCATTAAGTTTTTTTATTTTAGGACAGGCAAATTGGGTTGTGAGGTAATGAATTGAGGATGTCAGTGTTTACCTCCCCTCCTAGTATTAGCATTGATTTGTTAACTTTTGCCTTCCTTCTTAGTCCTTTTCTTGATCCTTTTTGTCAATGCATTTTTAAATGTTTTATATTAGCATTTATTATATACTATAATGAGCTTTATTATGACATTTTCTTACATGTACATAATGTATTTCAATCTTTTTTGCCACATCACCCT